ATTTTATTTATTTATTTAAATAATTTCATTTTATTTATTTATTTATTTAAATAATTAAATAATTTAAATAATAATATTTAAATAATTTAAATAATTTTATTTTAAAATAATATTCAATATATCATATTATTTAAAATAATGTTTCCAATTTAAAATAAAAAATAGCAAAGAATCTGTACGAATACTCGATATTTTATTTATCAGTTATTGCAAATAGATATTGATTTATTATAAGTGATTATTCTATAAACACATTTTTAGAAGTTTTTTTACAATCAATTTCGTCTTTTATGATCAATTCTGAAGAATATTTTTTATTATAGACATAGCTGGCTCGACAGTTACGATGATCGTTGTGTAGTTTGTTTTCCTTGATTACAAAACATCCAATATCCTATAAATGCAAGCCAAACGACCGTATTCATTTCCGGAGATGAGATTAGATTCGTTCGATTTATCATTTAGGATCGTCTCTAATGAACCAATCGCATCCTGGATATCGGGCACACCCTAGCTATTCTACGTCATCTTGTCCTATATCGATGAAATCGTTCCATTAAAATGGATACTTTTGTTATGTCATTCTCCAATAAAACTTCCAGCAAATGATGCAGTGTGCAAAATAAGGTCAACTTCATCACAATTGCAAACGCTTTCACATAATAACCAATCGTTCCACATATTACATGCATTTCTATTAACCTTTACGATATTGTTTCCAAATTCGAATAAATAAGTGAATATGTACTATATACGTATTAATTTATAATGCGTTTATTCTAATGTATCAATCTTTTTTATTTTTAATCATATTTGCCTTTATACTCCGAATTAATTTCAAATATTTTCACTGAAACAAAACTACATTTTGTTTTTAAAAAGACTTCACAATGAAAACTAAACGCATTTCGATTAAGAAAACAAAATGGCCAAATCGCTCCTATTTCTTACAGAATTTTTTTAAAATATCTCATTACTATTCTCTATTTTCCATTCATTTTCAGATAACTTATGTTCGTGTATCTTCATATAAAATAAAATATGTAGAATTATGTACATTATTAAGAATATTCAATGCTTTTAGTTGTATATATCATATTGTGAAACGAACATATTATTTATTTCAATGGAATTCTATTATTTCAATCATAAAAATTGTTCTTTTACAGATTTCTATCTGATATTCTATAATAAAAATTAGAAACAATTATTATTATTCCTTATATATTAGGAAATTGAATTATGTGTTCAATAGCAAAATATAAATTTTTATTTTCTAATTGAAATAATAGTTCTTCTTTTATAACATTCCCTAACATTTATGAAAATAAAACAAAATTAATACAACTTTCTTCAATGCGAATATTATTACTACTATTATTACTATATTATTGCAATAATGTTGAGATTAATTTTAAAATTTCTGTTTAAAACAAAATTTTTGTCAATATATCTTGCCATTACGTCGGCAACATAATCGTAAATCGTGGTTGGTTGCTAAGAATATTTTTAGTGGTCTGACGCTTTGTTACGTAGATGTGAAATATTTAGTAACCAGCTAATTATATGTATATACATATGAAATGACTAGCTAGCTAGTTATCCATATAAGATTATTAATAGCAAAATATAGGTTACACAGATATAAAATATCCTTGCTTTGTCTATCGTCATGGAATTAATAATTTTTATTGATTTTTTTTCTAGCTAGCATAATTATTGCTTTATACAATATAGTTACTACCTGCATCTATATGTTTC